GGTTATTTTTTTCGATTTTAATAAATAAGGTTAAAATTTATAAATTTAGTAAGGTAAAGGATTAAAAGTATCATAATATAAGATAAAGGATTAAAATTTTTAAATTTAATAAAATGAGGGATTAAAAATAAGTTTTTATCTACTTTGGATATAAATAGAGGTTTTATGAATAGGAAGAAGTTGCCAGCGAAGGACGAAAAGGATAAATAGTTGAAATTCAAAGAGTAAATCACTGTTGATTTTTTTTTTCTGTTATCGTCGGCGGCATGGATTATATTTATATCTATAAAATTTAACAAATTACAGGAGGCAGTGAAGATGATGAATTACAGTGACAGAGGGGGGAAAGTACTCAAAGTAGTCGGCATTCAGGATTAATAAAAACGGTGTTGTCAGGATATGCATTTTTCTGATATTGTAATTTTGGCGCTATAAAAATAATGTACTTTTATCTTCTGTCCGCTTTAACATCGCGCCATGAAATATGTACTGTACTTTTATCTTCTGTGCACTTCAATATTGCGCGATGAAAAATGTAAATTTTACCTATTTAAGGGCAACTCCCACAGATACGCAGCTCACTAATCGTCTTAAGTTTCTCTCTTCCTCTAGGCATACTTTTAGGACCGCACGGAAAGGTAAGCCCACTCTCCGCTGACTCATTTTTAAGTCTCTCATTCTGGTAGAAATTATACAGTCAGTACTCTTTCGTGATCAATTGATGCTTGTCATCTTGATTATGTTTCCCTAAATCGATCTGTTTCTTTTCCCTCTTTTTTTGGTTTCTTGATTTAGTTGTGCTATTACTAGAAATTAATGCATGCAGAGTTCAGTTAATTTGGTTAATGCAGTTAATGAGCAGCCGGATTTAGTAATTTTTTTTTTCCTGCATGTAATTGCACCAAACCAGAAGTCCTTCTTCAGTCCGCGCTTGTACTCCGAGATGACCTGCAAAGCCCCGAGGTGGAACTCGGGGTAGACACTCCGATGCTTAAGTTAGCAATAATCGGGGCTACCTTAAAGGCGGAGATAAAAAGAGCTTAGGGTTGGTTTCAATTACCTTTTTGACGTGGCCCGGGGGGGTATTTATAGGATCCAATGAGGTACCCACGTGGCATGCCAAGCAAGATAATCGGAGCTTGACGTGTCCATCCAGACGATTATTCCGGGACCGGGAATTTGAGAGGTATTCAGATGTGCGAGCATCCACCATACTTGCTGTGCCACTCGTCATAAGGAATCAGATGCGGGCATGCTTATTGTTATTATTATGCAGCTATTTGAGCGGGAAGCTTTGGATTTATTCCTCACTTCGGTCATAAAG